TCTCACCATACTAGTAATGTCTCTAAATCTTCAAGGCAAAGATCACCGCTGCTAGCTCTAGGTCAGGTGTAGGATAGTTTCTCTCGTGTGTTTTCAACTGACGTAAGCCATAAGCAGTACCTTTCCCTCTTGCATCAAGACACAACTAAGGGTGCAACTCGGGCGGGTTCGGTCGAGTTAGGAGATTGTTAAAGCCCAACCCAAGTTGTGTTGAGACCTACCCAAGCCCGAATTGTAACCCAAGGTTGTCTGCCCAAGCCCTACCTGAGTTAAATCCAAATTGCCCAAGTTGCCCAAATTGCTCGAATTGTAAATGAATTTCAGTTTTTTTATTTTTTATTTTTTGTTTTTTTTTTGCAGCTACATTATTAAATTATTAAAATTTGACTCTATTTAAAAATTATTATTATTATTATTATTATTATTATTATTATTATTATAGAAAATCATTAATACCATCAAAACAAATAATTTATATAATGTAAGAGACATGTCACTATAGTAGTCCTTACAATTTATGTGTGAAAATAAAAAGAAAAAAAGTAAGATTTTATGTTATTTGTATATATAATATATATTCAATATGATTTAATGATATAAATTACTTTAATATCATGTAATGGCATAATTTATATGTATATTTAATATTTTTATATATCTATATATGTATAATTCAGGCTTTGAGTTGCTCGGATTGTTTAACGTCTTTGCCTAAGCCCGCCCAAATTTAATTCGGGCTTCTACATTTTTGCCCAAACCTGTACCGAATTTGAAAATATTTTGTCTAGGCCCTAAAAAAATTCGGGCTAGACTCAGGTTGCTCAAGTTGAGCCCGTCCAAGTTACACCCCTAGACATAACCCAAACCTTCCTGTGACGTATCACAATATATAGAATAGCCTAAACCCCTCTCTAGAATAATCAACACTGGAACAGGGGTAAGTCTAACTTTAAGCTCTTGGAACGACTTCTTACAAGTCTCATTCCATACAAACTTGATTCCCTTCCTCGTCAGTTTAGTCAAATATGAGGCCAATCTAGAAAAATCTTTCACAAAATGACGGTAATAACCGGCTAACCCCAAGAAACTATGAATCTCAAAGGCATTATTAGGTCGTTCCCAATCTTGCACTGCTTCTATCGTAGAAGAGTCTACTGTCATTCCTTCTCCAAATATCAAATGACCTAAGAATTTCACCTCCTTCAACCAAAACTCACACTTCCGAACTTAGCATACAATTTGTGGGCTCTAAGCAACACAAGTACAATCCGTAAATGTTCCTCGTGTTCCTCCTCAGAGGGTGAGTAGATCAAAATGTCATCAACGAAGACAATCACAAAACTGTCTAGGAACTCACGGAAGATCCGATTCATCAAATTGATAAACAAGGCAGGTGCGTTAGTTAACCTAAAAGGCATCATTAAGAACTTATAATGTTCATACCACGTACGAAATGCCATTTTTTGGATATCCTCTTTCTTCACTCTCAAACTGGTGATAACCCGATCTCAGGTCTATCTTAGAGAAAAACAAGACCCCTTTAACTGGTCAAACAAATCATCTATACGAAGTAGTGGGTACTTGCTCTTAACATTTACCCTGTTAAACATTCGGTAATTAATACAAAGTCGCAATGTGCTATCATTCTTCTTGGCAAAGAGAGTCGGTGCTCTCCAAGGTGATGTACTAGGGTAGATAAAGCCCTTGTCTAAAATTCCTAGAGTTGAATCTTCAACTCACTCAACTTGACGAGTGCAAACCTATACGGTGCCATAGAAATTAGTGTCATGCAAGGCAGTAAGTCGATAGAGAAGTAAATCTCACGGTGAGGTGGTAAACTATTGAGATCCTTAGAAAAAACGTCTAGGTATTCACAAACTTCCCTCGGCAACTCAACTAGAACCGTATCACTCTCAACACCCAAGAATGTAGCAAGTAGGAGACTAAGTTCGTCCCGACCAAGAGGATCATACACTGGGAATAAGGCTCTATCAACTCTATCCCCCAAGAAATAAAAACAATCGCCACTCGACGTATATACAGTAACCCTCTGACGGTAACAATCTATAATAGCCCGATAGGATGACAACCAATACATAACCAATATAACATCGAAATTTGATATATCAATCAATGCAAATGCAAAAGGAAGTTAGCGACCGACAACCTATAATTCACAACCCCGGCACCCCTGATGCAACACAACCTCATCACCAACAGGTGACTCTACTCTGAGTGGAGATGCAAACCAAGCCACTTCTACCCCAATGCCGATGCAAATGCAGACGAGATAAAATAATGAGATGCACTCGTATCAATCAAAATATTGACAATAAAGTTACACAACAAGAAGTTACCTTGTACTACTGACGGTACTAGCACTAGGTCTAACGTGGTAACAGCATACACATGCCCTGTAGGTCTCTGCTTTATCTGCTCACCCCTCAGAGTTAAAGTCTAATGTACTGACTGAACCGAAGAGGCTCCCTTATTAGCCCTCGAGGCCTTTGCTGACGGTGCAGGCTAATGGCTCTGTGTCTGTCTCTGACTAGACGCACCAAATGTGCCACCTTACTAAGGAAAAAACCTCCTTATGTGCCCCGACTGCCCACACTGATAATAGGTAGGTGGCTGCCCTCTTCCCTGACTCTGGCTGTGAGAACGAACCGTCCACGGGGCAGACTGTTGCCCTCATCTCTTCTGCGGGCAAATTAAAGACTTGTGACCCAGCGGGCCACACTTGAAACAAGTGATCCCTCCCTGACCCAGAACTCAATACAGGAAAAGTGAACCTAAACTGTGCCCCCTGGGACTGCTGTGGATTGGAACCCCTCTGCCCCTTACTGTCCCGAGTCTCTACATGAACCTTCTGACTCCTCGTGGAGTCCCTCATCCACTTCTCCTCCATCTTAACCAATGACACCAACTCAACGCAATGCAATCAACCAACGACACACCACACATTTGGCAAGTTATGACTGTTGAGTAGGTGGGCCAGTGCGAAATTGAACGCTCATCGACAAATGAAAAAAAAAATGATATAATTTACGTAGTTTGTCCACCCATGATATGTTTTAATACTGTTTGGCCCATATTGTTTCTCATGTTAATTTGGTCAATGTAATTTTAATTTCATCAATTTTATTTTTAAAATTTTAATATTGTGTCAATTCAATTTAATTGATAATTATTTTTTAAAAGTTAGATTGAAATTAATAAGCAAAATAATTAATTCATTCTCCTCAGGCATAGGCGTTCAATTTGAATTGATTCATTTTGCTTTTCGATGAATCATTTTACTTTCTATTTCTATTCATTTTAGAAATAGATGCTGTCAATTAAACTAAATTGACACAATTTAAAAATTGGCATTCAAAATTGGTACAATTGGACCAATAGAGACCAATTGCATAGAAGGTGCAAATTATAGGGATCAAAGTTATAATTAGTCTTTATTTCTTTTTTTTCTTTTTTCTTTTTCCTTCAATTATAGGCGTGTCAAGAAGGAAAAAATGAATTAGGATTCTTTGTCATGATTTTTCTATAATGATCTTGATTTGTTTATTACCATAGCGAAGCAAGTTAGCAAAAAAATCCAACGACTCAAATTTAAAATAAAATTAAATGACACTGAAACATCGCAAATATATATTTTTTTAATTTAACTCCCACACCCTAAAATCAATGTAGTTTTCTTCAACGAATATTGTTATTTAAATCTAAAAATTAGAAAAAAAAAATCTAAAAATTAAACCCACTTTCTAAACCAAATGGTGTGACACTTTATTAAAATATTTAAATAAATTTTCTGTTAATTATTCTCTAATCATCAACTAATCATCTTGTTGACACATCACTGGATCTAAAAATTAAGTCTACAAAATGGGCTTATATATCATTTTCGGTCTTCAACTAAGCTTGTTACAGAGAGTGAGAAATGATTTTGATCTTCCAATATTGTTGGCCACTTTGTCTATGTTTGTCTATGTGGCAACCATTCATTGTCCTCAATAAATTGGGGTTAACGAATATTATAACTAAACAGCAATGTTATCTCCCACAATCTGTGTCAAGTTAAAATTTGTGGGTCTTTATCACTTTATTTTATTTGTATGGTCCATGTGTTGAACAAACGTATGGCGGTCTCAAAGTTAACGTTCTCTTTTGTCATATGTTGATCAATATACAATGTCAAATTGACCACAATTAGATATCCTAAAAACAATTTATGTGATATCTCACATTGCACTAAGTATATAAGTTGGCAACTCTCACATTTTATTTAAAAGGTATTAATACTTATATTTTATCATACCTATCATATGACGTGATTTATACCATATGAGGTGATACCTAATATGTGACTGAGTGTGATGACACATTACTTTATCCTCAATACTTTTCCTATGACCTTATCCTTTTTACTATATTCTTTCATTTTATTCCAATGTATTATAAAGTTCATCCATTAGCATATTTTATGTTTTTTTTATTTATTTTTTTTGTTTTTTTAAATATAATTAAATGATTGTACAAGTTTGACTAAATTTTAAAGTTTTTTTGTTTTCTTATTGATTTATTTTTTTTAGCTTCATTTTTTGGTTTAATTTGCTTGGGTGTTTATAATTAGTGAAAAGTTAACTAGAATTGATAGACCTCATCTAGATTTTTCACCTAAGACACCAAATTGCCTAGGACTACACCTGACAGTACATTTTTGACCTTTGGATCATGTGTTATCTCAAGATACATGATATGATCCAATTATTTTGATTAAAAAAATGAGGACAGAGGAATTTGAGGACTACAGATCCTAGACTAGAAAGAGTTGCTCGATTTCTTTAATTTTCCTTTATGTTTTTGTTTTTTCTTTTTAATTTTTTATTGTGGGTGTGTTTCAAATTCAATCCAGATCATGCTCATTCCCTGTTAGTGACCTATACAACTTGATTAATCGACTCGGATCTCTACATTATTATAGTGAAACTCTTTTTCCATTTTTCACACATGAATGTACTTACAGCACAATCACAAATCCTTTATATGCCTGTGTTGTTCTTTTGTTTTTACCTTTCTCAATCCCTACTTTTGCCATAAATTTTCTGTTATGGAATGAGTACTTTTGAAGACAAAAAAAAAAGAAAGAAATGTTCTAATTTAGATAATAGTTCAGTAAACAAGGAAAATACACACAAAAAGATACAGCAGAAACAATACAAAAGGAATATAAAACAAAGTCTCACACTCATCAAGACAACAAATGTATAAAGACCATCTCAAACTTCCAGAAGTCCATAGGAACATTATTAGCTACTCTGTAAAAGAAAGAAGAAAAGAATGGTAGTATTTTGGGGTATCTAGTTTGATGGGGGTGGTGAGAAGAAAGGAATAGTTGGCATTGTAGTTGGGATGGTTGGGATTGACGGAATTGTAGTTGGGATGGTGGGCAGTGAAGTTGCAGGCAGGGGCGGCAGAGTCAGTGGAGGAACAGTGGGCATGGTTGGCAATGTTGGGTTTGGCAAAGATGATGGAATTTGGGTGCTTGGCAGTGGTGGCAATGTGGGCATTGTTGGCAAGGTTGGGATTGTCGGCATTGTTGGCAATGTGGGCATTGTGGGCAATGGAGGCAATGTGACCTTTGGCAGTGATGGAATTGCAGGCACTGTTTGGAGAAGGTTGCGAGCTGCCAAACTCATCTGGATGCTTGAAAGTGAAAGCACCATGAACACAGATAGAACCAAACTATATTGAAAAGCAGCCATTGTTTGATAGGACTTGGGAGTAGTAGTACTCTGAATATTGGTTGATGTTACTTTGAGGACTTTTTCTTCGTTGAAGAAAACAATATTTGATGGTGGGTATTTATAGAGAGTGGATTAGAAAAATTAAATGGTTTGAAATAACAATAATAAGTTTGATGAATATGGTTGAGCGAAATGCTAATAAACTCTGGTTTGTTGACCTCCCAAACTTTGACACATTGCAAATTCAAATGTCAAGCTATCCACTGCCAACACAAACTTTGGTTGTGACTTATTGAGGTTATGATTCTTTAATAGATCAGTGGATAATTTAATAAATTTGAGGCCAAGACCCAACACCGCTGTGCACAAAAAAACAACAACAACAACAAATAAGAGAGAAGAGGTTTTTGCCAATGTAGATGGCAGGATATCAAGTGGAACAATTTAAATCATTGAAAGCTTACACCAAAAACTTATTACGATACAGTTTAAGTTACGAAAATGTGTAATTACTCGGTAGTTTTGGACATTCAGGTATTAACAAATTTTATGGTGAAATATTATGACTCATATTTATTAGGTAGTTGAGAGACGAGTCTCATAGTATTACATGACATTACTTACATAAATTGGAAGAAACTAAAAGCAGAGTTCTAAAAACAAAGAGCAGTAGGTATTAAAAATGGATCCTCCGAAATAGTGAACCTGGTAAGTGTAGACTCGACTTTCTTCGTGCCCCCTTTCGGAGAGCTCGAATTGGTCCTACAGTTCGAACTCTTGTCACGATTCTGAATCTAATCTCACAAAGTGCAATGTGAGACTGATAAACACCAAAGAGTCCAATCCGGCAAATCATTTTGGTCAAAATCGTTTTGGCCCAAAAATGGGGTGTGAGGTTTGGGATTTGACGCTCTCCTCTTGTCAAGGAAAACGAACCTTTGCACTGCACAACTTTCATCACCAAGTAAACAATTAGTAGCGCCCAAGTCTTAAGGGCAGTCAAAAATAGGGTATCTACAGTTGTTCCTCTTTGACAGAGCTCAAAGTCATGAAATGACATGAGTGAATGTCAAAGCCTAGAGACGATCCATTTTTGATAAGGCCGAAGACTTGGACAAATAAATAAAATGCAAATGCAGTTGGTTGAATCCGAAGGTTGCCTACGTATCCCTTTGTATGGAATCAAACCAGTGTAGTTCAGGGTCATGATGCAAAATGATATGCACGATGCAGAACATAACTTATGATCATGCAATGAGGGCTGTAAGGAAACATCTAGATGCAAATTTTATGAAAAGAAATGTTACAGCAAACTCAAACAAAAGCAAGTAAACATGACCCAAACCACATTTCATGCAGAAATGATGTAAAAAAAAAAATTATGCAAGTTTAACTACGCATCACGTAGGAAAGATAAAGAACAATACGACCTTCGGGCGCACCCGAGGTGCGAAACAAGATCCCAACGCGTGGAACACGTGAGGAATGAGATAGTGTGAACCTAGGGACACATCCTAAGGTTCCGAACCACAAAGAACAGTGATAACAAGTGAAACACATTCAAACATTATGCAACTGAAACAAAGGGCGGTATAGGCATCAGAATCCGTCCACATGCATTTGACCAAAGCGTCCTAACGCGCCACACGCGAGAGGGAAAAGAGAGCGCTGTAAACACCGAAGAGTGGTATAAACATTGAGTCATGTCCCAATGTTTCTAACCAAAACAAGGTGGTATAAGCATCGGGCACACATCCCAAACGCTTCTAACCGAGGAGTGATATAAATATCGGGCACACATCCCAATGTTTCCAATCGAAGCAAGGTGGTATAAGCGTCAGACACACATCCCAAATGCTTCTAACCGAGGAGTGGTATAAACATCGGGCATATATCCCAATGTTTCCAACCAAAGGGGTGGTATAAGCGTCGGACATACATCTCAAACGCTTCTAACCGAGGAGTGGTATAAACATCGGGCACACATCCCAATGTTTCCAACCAAAGGGGTGGTATAAGCGTTGGGCACACGGTCGAAACACTTCTAACCAACAAGAGAGGTATAAGGGTCAGGCACAAGGTCCAAACGTTCTAACCAAAGGGGTGGTATAAGCGTCGGGCACACGGTCCAAACGCTTCTAACCGGAGATGTGGTATAAACACCGGGCGTACCCGAGCGTTTCTAACCAACGCAAGGTATAAACGTCGGGCACACGACCCAAACGCTTCTAACCGGAGGTGTGGTATAAACACCAGGCGTACCGGAGCGTTTCTAACCAATGTAAGGTATAAACGTCGGGCATACGACCCAAACGCTTCTAACCGAAGATGTGGTATAAAAATCGGGCGTACTCGAGCGTTTCTAACCAACGCAAGGTGTCAGTGTAAACACTGGGCGTACCCAAATGTTTCTAACCAACGAGTTGTCAGTGTAAACATCGGGCGTACCCGAATGTTTCTAACCAATGAGATGTCAGTGGAAACACCGGGCGTACCCGAATTTTTCTAACCAACAAGATGTCGGTGTAAACACCGGGCGTACTGGAGTGTTTCTAACAAACGAGGTGTCGGTGTAAACACCGGGCGTACCCAAATGTTTCTAATCAATGAGATGTTGGTGTAAACACCAGGCGTACCCGAATGTTTCTAACCAATGAGGTGCCGGTGTAAACACCAGGCGTACCCGAATGTTTCTAACCAACGAGGTGTCGTTGTAAACACCAGGCGTACCTGAATGTTTCTAACCGACGAGGTGTCAGTGTAAACACCGGGCATACCCAAGTATTTCCAACCAATGAGATGTCAATGTAAACACCGAGCGTACCCGAGTGTTTCTAACCAACGAGATGTTCAAAGGACAGGAATGATCTCACCTGGAATTCCTCTGAATGAACCGTACATACAATATCGTCTAGTTGCACCAGCTTTCAAAGAACCGTACATACAATATCGTTCCTGCTGTTGGGGATCTTCTGCTCTTTCCTTAGTTACACTTCCAAACCACAGGTACTACTTTTCTTCTTGGCCATGTTCATAACTTTCCCTATTCTGCAATAGGGTGACAGACTAGGTTAGTTCAGTATCCAGAATTGAGGCGCATACATGCTACCTCAACCTATGGGGCTTCTATACAGATTTCAAGCCGGGGATACACGCCTGGGTATTTAAACCAGACTTTAGTCTTGGAAATTCCAAACCTTTGTGTTCTAGGCATCAGCCATTCGAACTCTAGTTTCCACCATCGTAGTTGATCTCCTAGGAACTCATTGCAAACACAACCAAGGTAACCTTGGTGGGGAACGGTACTCAGGGAGAGCACTTCTGATTGCCATTCTGGCATTGAAACAGTCAACACAATATTCAGTTGTCTTTGAACACACAGCTCGTACAGCATACTGCTCATTCTGAAACCACAGCTCATAACACAATACTCAATTTATTCTGCACACAGCGAATTCTAAACACACTGCTCATTCTGAGCACACGACTCATAACACAATACTCAGTTTATTCTGCACACGGCGAATTCTAAACACACTACTCATTCTGAACACACGGCTTATAACACAGTACTCAGTTTATTCTGCACACGGCGAATTCTGAACAAATAGTTCAATCAGAATAAACAAGATGTGAAAACGGAACATGCAAACGTTGAAACAAACTCGGATGCTCCAAATTTTCCCTCTTTTCTTTTGCTTCGTAGCCCGGAACCTGAATAGCTTCTAGATAGGTCCTTGTTCTACTGTTCTCACATGACCTGGGTTGAACCCTGCAGTTTTGTGAAAGAACAAATCGTGTTTTGCACAAATGTGGAGAACGACACAGCATTCCTAAGCACAAAACGATTTTTTTTTTGAAATTAAAAAACAGTTCTGGACCAGGTATTGAACCTACGACTGACCACACTCAAAACGATTCAACAAAGAAAAACAAAAGGTAAACAACCTAAACACATCGAGAAACACTCGAAACGACTCACAACAGGAATCGAGACAAACAAAAGACACACACAACACTCGGATGCGTTCCAAAGGCAAGAGACTTCTCGGTTGGCGGGGAGCCCAGTTTCTTCGGGTATTGTTTCCCACCCTTTTATTTGTATTTCTCACATCACTCGGCCCTTACGCTCAGTTTTTCTAAAAAAGCCATTTTCTCACTTTTTCTCTCAGCGCGCATCTCTCTATTCTTCAATCTCTCATTTTTAATCCCTCCCCTGGGTGGTTGATGGATAAATAAGAAGTTGTGGGTTCATGCCTAACATTATCAACTCGCGGCTATTTCCTCCGGTGACATTTAGTCAATGCCCCAGATGAGGGAGTGGAGTATCATGATCCATTCCAATTCAGGATTCGTACTTGACTTGTCACCTCGTTGTTTGGGGGTTGAGAGAGCTTTCAGCCCTTTGTTGTTAACTTCAGTTGTGCCTTTGGTGGCGAGTAGAGTGCCCTTCTGGCAAGCATGTTGACAATGGGAAAAGACAGAACACCTGAGTCAACTGTGCCCCTAGTTCATCATTTTGACCATGTTTTTGTTTTTGCTCTCTACTAAAACAATTTTAATCAATATGAGAGTTAGATTAACATGCTTGTTCACTTTTCTAATTCAAAATCATGCAAGTTAGGTTATGAGCACTGAAAATTTTTCTGTTTTGGGTCCAAGAAATGGTCCAATTTTGAAAAATGGAATAATTTTCAAGAAAATTAGTCAACCTTAGTAAAAATTCTCAAAAATTGTTTTTGCAAATGGTCACTGCTCAGTGAGCACGGAACCTACTCTTGAGATGCACAACCTCAGATCCGAAGGAAAATTGCCCCTTGTCTGAAGGACACTGCACGGCAACAGAAAGTTGCCCCTTATTTGAATAGCACCGCAGCACATTGCATGGCAACGGAAAGTTGCCCCTTGTTTGAATAGCACCGCCGCACATTGTAATCGGTCCCCAAAGTGATGATTGCAACCGAACTCTCGGATACAGAGAAGGCAAAGATTATCAAAACCATTACATGGACATGATCGCATTTGAAGTGTTTTAGGGCTGGACTTCAGAATGAAGTTGCCTACGTATCCCAAAGATGGGAATC